CTGCTCAGAAGAGAAATCACCGGATTAGAGAAAGATACGAAATCGGAGCTGCGAAAGTGGCAATCGCGAGTACAGGGAAACAAACAAGAACAGAAATGACTTACCAGCGGGAGAAAATCCGACACGACGACGCTTCTTAGGCTCGGTAACCGGACCGGCGGCGGCTTGATGCTTCTGAACCATGGATTCTCCGGCGAGTGAAGGCGGGAAGAGAGTGAGACAAAGGCGGGAAAATTGGAGGGTTAATGGAAATGCGGAGAGAGCGATACAGAGAGAGTCAGTAAGCTTGGGGCTCTCTTTATGTTTTTGAGAGCAATAGCAGATGGAGAAATACACACCACATGATCCACACGTGACTTAGCAAGGCCCGTTAGCGGCCCATAAAATAAGACTAAATTCACTTTATTATAATTGGTTAGCTTGTTGTTTATAAGAGAATAAGCAAATGAGGGCGTTTGGTCTAGTGGTATGATTCTCGCTTTGGGTGCGAGAGGTCCCGAGTTCGATTCTCGGAACGCCCCATTTGTACTTTTTAATATGTTCACACTCTTTTGGCCCAAATTGTCCAATTTTTCTCAAAAGATGCATAACTTTAAGAACATGTAATAATTATCTATAGTTAGTTATTCTTCGTATATCTAGTTGACTTTGAGAGAGGAGAAAGAACCGATTTTAGTTATTCTTCCCCATTATGGAAGTCTAGTTTTCGGCCAAATTATTCACAAAATTAGTGATTTAGTTTTATTAAAGTTTGAAATATATGAAAATTATTTGTAGTTTGGTTTGATGCAATTTAGTCTAAATTTCGGATTTAATTAAAATAAAAAATTGCAAATGATATAATATTATTACATAAGTATAATATTTTCCTATTTAATATTTTTTTTTCAGAAAATTTGGTTTCAATCTTGTTTTATTTTTTAAAATAATAAAAATTAATCAGTCTATAAAAAGTTATATTCGGTTTTAGATAAAACATTTCGGTTTGCTTTATGTTTATTTTTTAGCTAACCAAATTTTCCTACCTCCCATACTTGTCCACATAAAACATTTTCAAAATTTCAAATTTTTTATTTTATTTTTGTCAACAATTTCTAATTTAGTTATTGTTATTGAAACAGTGAGATTCGAGCTGGTTTAATATTTGTCAAAAATAAATTTCTCTCGATATAAAAACAAAATAAAATGTTTCCTTATTTAAAGTTTTTGACCGTTCGCGTGTCATGTTACGACTACCGGCGTCTATGGAGAAATCACCGCAAAATTTAGAGAGAGACTAAAACGAAGAAGAAGAAAAAAAAAATGGAAAAACAAAAAAAATCGTTTCTTTTTCCAGAGAGGTCTTAAGAGAGAGGAGAGAGAAAGGAATCGCTTTGTATATAAGCTAAAGAAAAGCCAAAAAACAATCTAGAGGTTGGGAGAAGAAGAAGAAGAAGAAGCTTTTGTTAATCCAGCGGTGATAAAACGACGACGACGGCGACGGCGGAAGCGGAAGAGCTTTTGTTGCCAATGACGGACTCTTACGGCGCCGTTTCCGTCGACGTTGAAACAATCTATCTTGGTGGCAAGGTTTCATTCTTTAACTTTCTTGAAATCGGATCCGAATAAAGCTTTGATTTTTATGTTTCTGGGTTTATCTTAAACTTGCTTAAATCTAATCTTTTTGTTGATTTGGGGAAGAACAGACATGTGGGCATTGTTAGATTCAATTGTTATTGTTAAAAATCTCATCTTTTATTTGAATCAAATGATTGCATATTTCACACATTTTAGAAGTTTTTTTTTCTTGTTCTTGCAGAATTCTTTGCTTGTGGATTTGTGAAACTTGTTTATTAAGATTCTTTCCAGATGGGATTATTCTTGGGATCTTCTTCTTCTTCTCTATTCAAAGATATCTTCTTCTTCTTATTTTGTATTCCTTATTCTTTGTCTTATTGCCTTTTGATTTTTTTTTTTAATTAAAAAAAAAGAAAAAGAAAATTCCAGCTGTTTTTGTCTACCTTTAACCTTTTGTTTATTAAGAGTTTAAGAGCTAATGCTTCTTTATTATCTCATATTAGCTCATCTTTTTAACAATGTCATTCCTTTTTTATAAAAAAAAAAACCACAATGATTAGAATTAGGCCATTTCCTTTGGTTGTTGATGATGAAGTTTTGATTTTGTTTTTTTGCCCTTAAAAGTAGTAAAGCTGCACATGGAAAAGCTTTAACAGAGATTTTTCTCATTTGTGTTTCTTTATTGTTGGTGTAAATATATACATTTCTTTTCCACCTAAAGTCAGTTGTCATGTTACTATCTTTAGTATGCAAATTACAAAATAGAAACTAGATTAATTGTTTACTGAAGATAAACAAACACATGTTTTAAGAATATGGAGTAGACAAATGGTATGGTTAATAGTTCTGTTGGTTTCATGATCCGTTACTTTTGTTAAAACTTGCTGGTTTCTTGTGTTCAGGAGCATCGTGTTAAAACTGCTAGTGGTGTTGTGTCTGTCATTGTCTATGGAGACAGAGAAAAGCCAGCATTGATTACTTATCCTGATTTGGCCTTAAACCGTAAGTCTAAACAATCTCTATAGGCACTAATGTATTGGCTAAATTACAGGATCCTTTTGCTGAAATCATGAATGTTTTTGTTGCTTCTTGTTCAGATATGTCATGCTTCCAAGGATTATTCTTCTGCCCTGAAGCAGCTTCATTGCTGCTTCATAACTTCTGCATTTATCATATCAGTCCACCTGGGCATGAGGTCCATATTTTAGTTTCTCTTTTTTAACTTGCCGTATGATTTGCTTGCGGGGATTACTCACATGATTTCTCTGTTTCCTTGCATTTTCACGAAGAGTTCTTGCAGTTAGGAGCTGCTCCGATTTGTCCTAATGATTCAGCCCCTTCTGCTGAAAACTTGGCAGATCAGATCCTTGAGGTTCTCAACTTTTTCGGGTAATGATTGAATCCCTTATCTCTTGCTTATTGAAGTTCTCAATTGTTCTGTAAATGAAAATGTAGGCACTAACAATGTATAAGCTTTTGTTCAGCCTTGGTGTTGTGATGTGTATGGGAGTGACTGCAGGTGCTTATATCCTCACCTTATTCGCGGTATGTTCCTGTTTATATTTCTCTTTTCACTGTCCATTGTTTCAGACGAATATTGTGTTTATTATCTGTTCTATGTCTTAAAACTTTTCAGATGAAACATAGAGAACGGGTTCTCGGTTTGATTCTTGTCTCACCGTTATGCAAGGCGCCGTCTTGGTCTGAATGGTTTTACAACAAGGTTATCTCAAACTTGTTATATTACTATGGAATGTGTGGAGTGGTAAAGGAATTTTTGCTTCAGAGATATTTTAGTAAGGTATGTTCACTGCAATTACCATTTCTCTCTACACTTGTTGCTTTCCAGACTTCTCTTATTTAAACCGGTTGCAACTACTTGCTACAGGAAGTCCGTGGTAACGTTGAGATTCCAGAGTCAGATATAGCACAAGCTTGCAGAAGAGTCAGTGTTTTAACTCTCGTTTTTCCTGATTAATCAATAGATAGGTCTCTCTATATTAGGGATTGACATCTTTCACTTTTGGTAATTGTCTCAGCTGCTTGATGAAAGGCAAAGCGTAAACGTTATGCGGTTTCTTGACGCCATTGATCGGTAACACAACAAACACCTCGAAATCCTTTATCTAAGCAGCATTCATTCATGCCATAGTGTCAAAATCTTGCCTTTCTTTACTTTATGGAAACCAAACATTTGCTCTTGCAGGAGACCTGACATCTCAAGTGGATTGAAGAAACTAAAATGCAGGACACTTATCTTCATCGGAGATCAATCTCCCTTCTACTCAGAAGCTGTTCACATGGCAGCAACTTTGGATAGAGGATACTGTGCTTTGGTTGAGGTTTGAGAAAACAAATTCTCAGCTTTACATATCAAAACATCTTTGGTTTTCTCGGTAACTAATCGATGTTTCCTTGGGATATTTTCAGGTTCAGGCTTGTGGTTCAATGGTAACAGAGGAGCAACCACATGCAATGTTGATCCCAATGGAATATTTCTTGATGGGTTATGGATTATATAGACCATCTCTTTTCACAGAGAGCCCTAGAAGTCCTCTTAGCCCTTCTTGTATTTCACCTGAGCTTCTCTCTCCTGAAAGCATGGGATTAAAGCTTAAGCCTATCAAAACCCGAATTTCGGCGGCTTAAGTCAGTGCGCAATACTGATTCATTGGTTCTAATTTTGCTGAGGAGAAATCTTAGGGCTATTGTAGATATAGAACAATCACTAGGGAGATTTGAGAAGAAGAAGAAGAGAAATTCAAGCCATCCTTATATAACACATTCTTTTGTAGCCAGCCGACACGACAGTTCTCTTGTTAAGAAGCCACGAAATGTTGTTTATTATTTCATTTTTTTATACATATGTAAAATGTTCTGTTGTTGTGACATTGTAACAATTGTTTTGTGATGAACTCTGCAGATGCACAAGTAATAAATTCATTTTGCATTTTTTTGGTTCTCTTCAAGAATTGAGAGTTTTATAGTTGGATTCACTAATTGGTCTTACAAGCACATTGACTTCACCTAATAAGAATCTAATTCTTGCTGAATATTGATATTTATAAGAGTCTTGATCCTGAACTATTTGGATAATCAGACTTTTTAGTCTGAGATTTATCTTCAACTTAAGACAGCAGAGAGAAATCTTAACTGAATTGTAAATGGAAATAAAGACCAATCCTTCTTCGCAAAAGGCGTAAGCTATATACCGGTATAAGATACGCATAAGGATAGTAGCGGCTGAGGAAAACATAGTCACTCATGAACCGGGGTAAAGGCGAAGAATGCTTCGGTTAGTCTGAACAAGTCCAGTGCTCCTTCTATCTTTGCCGAGCCCTTAAAATGGATGCAGACAAGTGTAAATCCAAGCCAAACCCGAAAACCCAAATCCGAAGTAGAAGAGGTGTAAAACTCTTTGATAACTAATGATTGAAATCAAATTAAGTCCATTTCTTGTATTGATTGATCATCCTAAGATGTTTTGTAAATTGTAGTAAATAGTACAACAAAGCTCACGCCGACAATACATCAAACCACTTACCTCAGCTCTCTACAAGCTAATAGTCGAAAGGTTTTCACTTTCAAAAACACAGAAACAATGATAATAATAATAACTTTATATGATGTAATCTGACCATTCCGAAATGAATGAAGTATGATCCATCGATTCTCCGGGACATTCCTCATCATGAATAGTCGGCTTCTCTTTTCCTCCAACGAGTCTCGCCGGATTCCCAACCGCCGTAGCTCGACAAGGCACATCAATCAACACAACAGAACCAGCTCCTACTTTAGCTCCTGCACCAATCTTCACATTTCCAAGAATAGTCGCTCCAGCTCCAATCAAACAACCGTCACCAATCTTCGGATGTCTATCTCCACAAGCTTTACCAGTTCCACCGAGTGTCACATGGTGGAGAATTGAAACATTGTTCCCAATCACAGCTGTTTCTCCGATAACAACTCCCGTTGCGTGGTCAAGAAGTATCCCTTTTCCGATCTTCGCCGCTGGATGAATATCCACCGCGAATACATCAGAGATTCTTGAGTGTAGTGCTAAAGCTAATGGCTTCCGTGATTGTGTCCATAGCTTGTGTGAAACACGATGCGCCTGAATCAACAAAACCAAATTAACTACTGACAAAAAAAACAAAATCATGATTCGACATTCACATGATTGAAGAATCAAATTAACCTAAAACAATATTCATAAATCAAATGATGCAGATTCACCTAATTGAAGAATCAAATTAACTAAGAAAATTCATGAATCAAATCATCAATATATAGAATCGTGGATTCATCAGATTGTGGAATCAGATTTCACCTGAATAGCTAAGAAGCCTTTGTAATTGAGAAGGCAATGAGAGAACGAGATACAAGCAGGATCACGAACACGAGCAGCGCGTAGATCTGCGACGGTGGCGTTACGGAGAGAAGGATCGGAGGAAAAAGTGTTTAAGAACAGATCGTATAAAAGTGTGGATAAAAGCGTTGAGGAACAAAGCTTGTTTCCTAAATGAAACGAGATAGATCGTTCAAGAGACGAATGAGAAAGAATCGTCGAATAAAGATAGCTAGCTAACGCCGGCTCCGCCTCAGCATCACGGCGAGCTTCCGCTTTGATCTGTGTCCATAATCCGGCAGCTTCTGCATCTGCAGCTGCCGCAGATATCGCTGCTGCTGCCGCTGCTGCTGCTTCGGTGGATTGAGTATCGGAAGATTGTTTATCTTTCGATGGAGATTGATGTCGGAGTTCTCCGGCCGGTGGCATCTTAACGACGGCGATAAGATTCCGATTTCTATCTCCTCCTACCTATAAAATTTTCAATCTTTGAGGCTTTTTAATTTAATCGTGCGGAAATTTCAATTTTTAAATCCGTAGATTAAAGATAATGATAGTCCACGTGGTGTGTGATTAACGTGATTTTTAGAAAACAAATCAGAGCCGTCAGTTGTCTGCATTATCGATAACCGTTAGATTAGATTCATCTTTCCTAGAATCGACGGTGTTGATTCTGCCGACAGGTCTTACCAAACTTTTTCACTGTTTGAAGAGAATACGTCACTGGTTCGGCAAACCAATATCGAAACCAAACCGGTTTGGTACAAACATTTCGGTTAAGAATTTTGTGCCTTTAAATACACAAAACAGAAACTATACGAATTTAACTACCAACAGGTCCAACACTACAAATTTGAAACGTGAAAGAGTGGGATACAATCTCATTAATTTAGGAGAACAAAAGCCATATTTTTGACCTAGTCGATGTACGTAGGTTTACTCTGGGAAACCAAATGGTCTCATCAGTTTGAGTATTGAAGTGAGGAAATTTTTGTTCTTCTTCTCTTCTTTGATTCTGGTAACAACTTGGTCTTGAAGAAAAGGAACCAGCACTTGTGACTTTCTCTTGCTCATAAACTCGCGATCACCGAGCTTCTCAACTAATTCAAGCTGGCGTCGTCTTCCATTATTACGTGTGTTACACGCATAATCAATTGTACTCAAAATCATCCCTTCTATTGCAGCAGCTTCCCATTTAGATCCCATCTGATAAATCACAGTAAAGCAGATAAACAATCATCTAAATTAGGATTGAAGTTATATACTTTGCTGAAGTAATTTTTTTTGTCATAATAAGACATAATACCAGAGCATATCTAAAGAAAATGTAGAATCCATTCAAGGATATGTCTTCAAATAAACTTGCGGGCAAATGACCACCGCATCTTCCATAGTTCTGGAGTCTTGATCTCACGTCTACACTTTCTCCTAGGTATATAGGAACAACATTATCAGGATCAAACTTTTGGCCTAGGTCTTGACCAATGACTGCTACAGCGAGCTCATACAGACCCGTAAAACATTTAGGAGGTAAGTCCTCATGTCTGTATCTACGGATGACACCTTCTTTCCCATTATTGAAATCTTTCCAATCATTGGGTCTTATAAAAATCTGTGTAAGTTTAGGACCAAACAACACGCAATCAGTGACTTTGGAGGAATTGGCTTAGGAAAAGCTCATCTTTCATAATGAGCATAAGACATAAGACTAAGGTCAATACAACCGTAGCAATATTAAGAGTAAGAGAGAGAGAGAGAGGGAGGACCTTCCAATCGGAGAAAATGGCGTCGTATTTAGTCCGCTTGTAGTCTTCTCTCTTGTACATAGTGGGGACGACGGCGACCGAACTGAATTCTATTCCGATCAACCTGGTGATCCATTAAGTGAAAGCCTTAAAAGATGTATAGAGAATAAAAAATGTACCAACATTTGTGAATAGATGAGATGATAAGATGAGACCTATTGTTCAAGAGTTGACTTATGACCGGCATAGTGGTTGTGCTTTTTTGCATGATACTGATTGTGTGTCGTATATAGTTAATCTTCAACTTCGCCATCTTCGATAATAGAAAAAACGACATTGTCAAACAAAATAAAACAGAACAATAATGAAAGAAGGCAATTCTGTTCTGTGATGATCGACAGATTTATGGAAGAAGTGAGGGGAAGTTGAAAAAGAAGTGGGTCATTTACAGTTTCTCGCGTCATGGACAAGTAACAAAGTGGAGGCAGGCATGGTCGAGTTCATGTATTTCAGGTTTAAAAAAATCTACAAGTTACTCAATAAAAACAAAGATACAAAACATTCGTTTCTAGTTTATGAAATTTGAAAAACGTAATGCAAAGATGCAAGTCAACTATGTTAATCATAACTGATTTTAAATTATTAAAAATGAAATTGTGAGTCATCCGGTACAGATGTTTGCTTCAGCAGACCAATACCGAAACCAAAACGGTTTGGTAAAAACAATTAAGATTAGATGACAAAGAACTTAAACAAGTGATGAAGAGGTTAGGTGATTCTCATTCCCTTGTGCTCTTCACACCTCTTACGTCCTTTGACAGGAGATCTTTCACAGATCAATCCATTACAAAATTTAACTCCACAGGCTACAAGTTTTGCAGCTCCCGGCTGAACATTTTCCGGCGAGTGTTCGCCGGAGGTTTTCTCTTTATGTTGCCAACACCTTTTGCTTCCTTTAGGAGAACTTCTTGTGCAAGGTAACCCATTCTTTGTTGTAGCTTCACAGAAGCGAGTCGAAGCTTCTTCTTCCCTTGACTCGGTATGCGATTCGGGATTAGATATCTCGGCTCTCACGGTTTTCTCACGATCTGTCTGGTTAAGAAGAAAGAGAAAAGCATTGATCCTCATGCCTTTATGATCCTCACATCGTTTTCTTCCAGGAACAGGTTTCTTATTGCAAGGTTCCATGTCAGGCAAGATCACTCCACACATGCCATCAGAGTCTTTGTGATTGTGATGATCTTGTCCGGTGAAAATCTCTGGTTGTGGAGGTGTCTGTTTTTCGGGTGAAACACGGCAAACTCTCTGCCCTTTATGCTCTATGCATCTCTTTCTTCCTTTGACAGGACTTCTATTGCAACAACCACCATTTTCAAGTAAGACCCCACAAACAGAATCAGAACAAGAACCATCAACCTCTTCAAATCTGTCTGAAACCGGTTGAGGTCTTGACCGGGTGAGTTTGAGTATTGAAGTGAAGAAATTATTACTCTTCTCTTCATCAACATCAGAGCTTAGCTTTGTCTCTTCTTTAAGCACATGCTTCTCTCCTTTGATTCTGATACCAACTTGGTTCCGAAGAAAAGGAAACAGCATTCGCGATACACCGGACTTTCTCTTGCTCATAAACTCGCGATCACCGAGCTTCTTAAGCAAATCAAGCTGACGTCTCTCCCCGTTACTTCCTTTGTTCCAAGCATAGTCAAATGTGCTCAAAAGCATCCCTTCTGTTGCCTCAGCTTCCCTCTTAGATCTCATCTGAGAAAATCACATTAAAGCAATGAAACTTGTATACCTAGCAGACCAATATAGAAGATAAGAAGACATTGAACTTATTTACTGACCGGAGCCCATCTATATAAAATGGAGCCTCCTTTCGAGAATATGTCCTCAAATATACCACCGGTAACCGCCTTCTTAACAGGAGACTCAATGGTTACACAGTCGTTAAGGTTGTTAACATTGCGCAAATGAGCACCAGATCTTCCATAACGCTGAAGTCTAGACCTAACACTTTCAGCTTGTCCTAAATACACAGCAAGAACATCATCAGATTCAAGCTTTCGACCTTGGTCTTGACCGATGACCGCTACACCAAGCTCATACAGACCGGGGCAAGATTTACGAGGTAAGTTCTGTACTCTGTATCTACCAACACCATCTTTTCCATTTTGGAAATCCTCCCAATCGTTTGATCCTATCAAAACCTGTGTATGCAAGTATGCGTGTAGCATCAAACTTTACATAATCAGAGCGCATAGAGATAAGACAAAGATCAAACCAACCACTGCAAGTAGCAATGTAATCAATGAAACAGAATTAGGCTAATTAGATAGATGTATGAGCTAGTGACCAATTCCAACAAATATCCAGAGAAAATGAAGACTTTTTCTCCCAATTTCACAAAACTTAACTCATAGATTCTAAAAATGGGATCTTTAGACCGAATTCTAGGAAATTGAAGATCAGATTTCTCGATTCAACTGAAAATCTGAGAATCCCCAAATGGGTTTCAGAGAAATGGAGAAATGGAGAAAGAGAGAGAGAGAGGACCTGCCACTTTGAAAAAACGGCGTCGTGTTTAGTCCGCTTATAGTCTTCTCTTTTGAAGATAGTTGGGACGACGGCGAAGGAAACGCCGTCGCCGAATTCCATTTCGATAAAACCGATGATATAGTGTGACTGTTAAATTAAAGTGGACTTGTTCTTTCTTTCTCAGTGCTCGTTAATATAAAGACAACCGATAAAGATGAAGAAAAGTATCTCTCCCCTCCAAAAATGGATGTTTATATGTAGTGATCCATCCAAAAGGGGATAAGTTTTGTTTTATTATGTCAGACGGGGAAAGTTTTTTAAGTTACCGTTGGAACGGTGAAGCTTCTTCTGTACGGTTTATGGATTAGTTACCGTTGGAATTTTTTAATCTACATTAGTCAATAATGTTGATAACCGTAATTAGCATAAGGGAATCTACATTCTTAATGTGAATACTTAACTTTTCAATTGGTCAAATTTTCTTCTATCTTTCGGATTTTTATTACACTTTTACTTGATTTGGCAAATGTTATCACCAAACAAAATTAATAGTTATTTTTAAAATTAATAATTATTGATGAGAACCCAAAATTTGTCATGTTATTATTCATTTTCAACCAATCTTGTCTATCCTTTGTTAATCATCAGTATTTTAGAATAAAATGAATATTAACAGCATATGAGTACAATAACATTTTTTAAAAAAAGTATTTTTAAGAGACATACTTATCAAATTAACATTTGCCATGTTTTATAACAAAACAAATTTAATTTATGTTGTTGGAGGTAAATCTTGTTTATCGGGTATTTTACCAACCGGGTTGTGACACATGGTGTCGAATGCACAAGAAATTTTTGTGTGATCGAACGATCCGCATCAAATCTCTCTTTGGAAGTTCTCGAATCAATATCTATAGCTAGGGACAACTAATGTCCCACAACATCTCACGAAAAGCTAATTAGTAATGGGATGCTATATGTGCACACAACCAAAACAGTACAAATGTGATCATTTTCTTAACTCATCACTCATCAGATATACTTGTTTTGATGACTTGCCCTAAGGATGCTAACCACGATGAAGCTATAAGCAATGTGTTTCTATAGAAGGTCGACAAGGGGCTCACCTATACATCCCCTATAGTCTAAGGACCCGGCCGGTATCCGAATCCGAAAAAAAGTAAAACTTAAAATTAACACCCTAATAACATTTGAAACTAATATAAAAGCTCTAAAAGAGCTCGAATTATGAGCTTAAACTCAAAAGACAAAAACGAATTAGTGTACTTTCATGCTGCCATTAAATCCAAAATGTTGTTTTCATCCTTTTTCACTTTAGTAACTGTATACATTACTAAATCATAAGATCTTAAAATTTGATCAATTTCAAAGATAACATAAGATATATTCGATCGCATCACTAGACTTTGATTTATTGGAGCACCTTTCATGCTTTAATAAAGTATAAATCATCTTTACTCAACTTTTGTTTTTTCACTTTCTCCACTGAAATAAATAAAAAGCAACATGAAAAGCATGCAAGTGCAACGTTCAACTCCTTAATTATATCATTCTAATTTTTTTCCTCTTCTTTTTTTTTGAATGAATTATGAGAACCGATTCTATAATGGTTCTTTTGTCCTCATAAAAGAAGAAAGTTGGCCATAACTTGTCCATGAAGAAAGAAAACGGTCTTATTAATATTTTTTCACTAATAAATTCTAAAAAATCAAATCAAAAAAAAAAAAAGTGTGATAAGGAATTAAGTATCATCCTTTGACACAACTCTCTTGGCTTCTTTTTGCTCTCTTTAGAATAAAGCAGAGTACTTTGTGAATATTTCTTTATTCTTAGAATTTATTTAAAATACAAAAAAATACAGAGACAAATAGAGAAAGAAGAAGAAGAAAGAAAGAAACACCAATCATATAATAATAATAACACACCATTGTCTCTTCCTTCAAACAGAGCTACAAATCCAAAATACTTCTTATTTTAATTGTTTGGAACTTTGCTTTTATCTTCTACCAAATTCCTCTGATTTTGTCGAAGAAATTACTTGTTGAAAATCCAAAACCTGACTTACTTCATCAGCTTTTTGGCCCCACTTTACAAAGTATGAGCAAGTTTTTCTTGTTTTCTACAGCAAAGCAATGCTCACACCATTTTCGTGGAGCTTAAAGTCTTCAAAACCTAACCAAAGCTTTGAAATTTCTCAGCAAGATAGAGAGATAAAGAGAGAGATCTAGGGATTGGCTATTAAGAGAGAGAGTACACTACACTATGGGTTCTTGTGCTGTTGTGTTTTGTGCATCTGTTCATGTTTTTGTGTTTCTCAGTTAAAAAAATAGTTTCAGAGACATTGAATCTCACACATTTACTTACACACACTCACACACGCGTAAATTTCTCAACTTTTTTTTTTTATATTTCTTTTAGCTTCTGGGGTCACTTGAGAAAGCATCTTGGATTGCGTGATACTTCCACTTTCTCATTTCAGAAAATGGGTTTAGATTGAGTGAAGTGTTAAAACTGAATGTAAGCAAGAATTGAAGGAGAAGAAGTAAAAGTTTGGAGGTTTAGTTCAAGGTTTCTTTCAATTTCTGTGTTTGTGATTTCTGAATCTTAGAGAGAATGAAGCAGAAGGGTTTTAAAGAGAGAGGTGTTGTAGTGGGGAAGAAAGTAATGGTTGCTGTTAGAGCTTCAAAGGAGATACCAAAAGCAGCTCTTTTATGGACTTTAACTCATGTTGTTCAACCTGGAGATCGAATTAGGCTTCTTGTTGTTGTTCCTTCTAATTACACAAGTAAATCATCTTTTTTTCCTCTTCCCTTCTTTGTCAATTGTTTTGGCAACTTCTTGGTGTTGAGTGGTGATAAATTTTGTCTCTTTTGGTGCTGAACTTGAGATCTTGGACTGTTCTTCTTAGTTATGTAGACAATCAATGAGCTATGCACTGGTTTTGTCTGATTTTTAAGGAGAAGAATGTGTAAAGATTTAATCTTTTTGTCTTGGTTTTTTCAGGTAAAAAGATTTGGGGGTTCTCGAGGTTTACCAGTGACTGTGCTTCAGGTTATGGAAGATTTCTTGCTGGAACGAATTCAGATAGGAAAGATGATATTCATGAGTCTTGTTCTCAGATGATGTTTCAGTTACACAATGTTTATGATGCAGAGAAGGTAGATAAACTCACTCTTATTCATGTAGATTTTATAAGAGACATCTTTGTTAGTAAATGGGATCATAAAGAGTTTTCATTTGCTTTAATAATGCAGATAAATGTCAGAATCAAAATTGTTTTTGCTTCACCTGAAGGAGTTATTGCTGCTGAAGCCAAGAAATCCAACTCAAACTGGGTGATTTTAGACAGGTAACACTACATATATGAGTGTTGCAAGCAGAGTTTTGGAAACAGCTTTTGTGAGTTTTGACATTCTGATAATTCTTAAACAGAGGACTGAAGTATGAGAAAAAATGTTGTATTGAACAATTGGAGTGCAATCTTGTTGTAATCAAGAAGTCACAGCCAAAGGTTCTTCGTCTCAATTTGGTGAAAAATGCAGATACAGAGCATCCAGAAGCTATATCAAGGTTAGCGTCAAAGTCTGTCGAGGCTCGGAGAAGCTCAAGAACTGGAAAAAAGCTGAGGGAACCGTTTGTGACTCCTGCTAGCAGTCCAGACCAAGAAGTTTCTTCACATACTGATATTGGGACTTCATCAATATCTAGCTCTGATGCTGGAGCCTCACCGTTTTTAGCTTCTCGAGTCTTTGAGGGTCTCAAGAAAGAGAATTTGTGGGTTAATGATGGAAACAAGAGTTTCTTTGAATCTGATTCTGACTCGGATGGTGAAAAGTGGAGTCCTTTATCAATGGCCTCTTCATCTTCTCATCCAGTGACAACAGCTGATATGCTGAGTCCTAGTGGGGATTTATCAAAAGCTCATACCGAAACTCCAAGGAAATCAAGATTTTCGGTTCTTAGGCTTGCTTTATCTAAGAAAGAACCTGAACCAGGAAAGGAAATCCGTAATTCTGATACATGCTTAAACAAAAGCGTGAGAGAAGTTGTTTCTTTATCCAGAAAACCAGCTCCTGGACCTCCTCCACTATGTACCATATGTCAACACAAGGCACCTAAATTTGGAAACCCTCCAAGATGGTTCACTTACGGCGAATTGGAGACCGCAACAAAAGGTTTTTCTAAAGGGAGTTTCTTGGCTGAAGGTGGGTTTGGTTCAGTTCACCTAGGAACTTTACCAGATGGTCAAATTATTGCTGTCAAACAATATAAGATTGCTAGTACACAAGGTGACCGAGAATTCTGCTCTGAAGTTGAAGTCTTGAGCTGTGCTCAACATCGGAATGTTGTAATGCTCATTGGATTATGTGTGGAGGATGGGAAAAGATTACTCGTTTACGAGTATATCTGCAATGGATCATTGCATTCTCATCTTTATGGTAAAGTTTCTATTCTTGGTATACAAAGAAGAACATTCTTGTTTTTTTCTTTTTTGTGAAAAATTGTTATTAATATAAAAGTTTCATAGGTATGGGGAGAGAGCCATTGGGATGGTCAGCACGGCAAAAGATTGCGGTAGGAGCAGCTCGTGGGTTGAGATACCTTCATGAAGAATGCAGAGTCGGTTGCATCGTGCATAGGGATATGCGTCCTAACAATATTCTTCTCACTCATGATTTTGAGCCTTTGGTAAAAAGAATGATAAAACTTTTCTCAAGCTCTCTGTGTATTTCGGGTTTATGCTAAGCTTTGAAACTTTTTAACATTCTAGGTTGGAGATTTCGGGCTAGCGAGATGGCAACCAGAAGGCGATAAAGGAGTGGAAACCCGAGTGATTGGAACTTTCGGGTAATCTAATGCCATGATCTTGAGATATTCTTCTTCTTGATTTACTTGTAGACCAAGGATAAACTTTTCTGTTTTACTTCAGGTACTTGGCACCTGAATATGCACAAAGTGGACAGATTACAGAGAAAGCAGATGTTTACTCTTTTGGGGTAGTCTTAGTTGAGCTTATCACAGGAAGAAAAGCTATGGACATAAAACGTCCTAAAGGTCAACAATGTCTTACCGAATGGGTAAAACCAAAAACAACTCTATATCAAAGTTTTTTAGTCTTTAAAGCTCTGAATGATTTGCTTACAAAGAAGAAACATTTTGTACTTTTTCTGCAGGCAAGACCATTGTTGCAGAAACAAGCCATTAACGAACTTCTTGATCCGCGTCTAATGAATTGCTACTGTGAGCAAGAAGTTTATTGTATGGCGCTATGTGCTTACCTCTGCATTCGCCGTGACCCTAACTCGAGGCCACGAATGTCTCAGGTTTGCTGCCCATAGCTCTTTTGAAAACACTTCCAAGTTAAAAACGCATAATCGATTTTTTCGAATGTTAACTTTTCTTTTTATCTCTGGATCATCTGTGTCTTCTCAAATGAAGGTGTTGCGGATGTTAGAAGGAGACGTTGTCATGAATCCAATTTAAAAGAAGCTTCACAAGGAAATTTCTTATTATGGAATTTGTACACTATTAACTATTTAGGGTTACTATTACAGCTTTTTCTCTTAAATGAGTTTTGCTTTTTGTATGTATGTAGTAAAAGTTTGTTAATGAGACAAAGATTCAATTAAAGTTTGTTGAGATTTTTACATTAATCTTAAATTTAATCAAGAGGCATGTGTTATGGATTTTATGGCCAGTTAAAGTCTGAATAATTGAGGTTAATGGTTAAACTATCCAATTAACAAGTTTTAATGTGGATTTATATCATAATTTTGTTATAGCTTATAGCTTCTTATATCATTGCTCTGTCTCTTGTACCCAATAAAGAAGGAACTAGGAAGGTAATCTGGTTCTTGATGCAAAACCTTGAGCTTTGTTTTTGTAACAAATCTGTCACTATCTTTGGTAAAAGACTAAAAAAGATAGAAACTTTAAACACCAACAACAAAAAAAGTTGGGGCTCTTAATTGGCAAGTCTTAATTTTTCCATTAGCCCACTAGTTGATGGGTTTGATCCAATTTTTGCCGCTTTCGTTTAAAGACATTGGAGGTAAACCAACTCAGGAGTTTTTAGGGTTTATCGCAATTCTCAAATGACGAACTGATGTGAGAGTGGAACTGGAATCGTCACTTAGGTATGTCTCGATTCTCAGCTTTAATTTTACTTCATTTGTGGTTTCGTAGACTTTTAGTTTAATCTCGAAATCAATCTTGAAAATTCACAATTCTTTTGGTGTTCTTGTTGTTTCCAGTTATAGTCAGATCGAAAAGTCTTCATCTTTTCGTGTTTGATTTCGAGATTTTGGGAATTGACAAGTTGAAAAAACATAAGCTTTTGGAGTTCTTTGTGCTTATTATTATATGGACAGGATAAGTCAATTGTCTGATGATTTGCTCATCAAGATACTGTCATTAGTCGAAACAAGAGATGCTGTGACCATGAGCATTTTGTCTAAACGATGGAAGTCTCTTTGGACATTGGTGCCAAGACTTATCTTTGGTGATTACCCAGAGGAGAGGGAAGATGAGGATGAGACTCCAAAGACTAATGAGAATCATTGCATAAATATGTCACAGTTTGTTTATGGGACTTTGTTATTGCATAAGGCGCCGGTTCTAGAATGTTTTCATCTCAACCGTGCTTCGGGATGTAGCGCTTCCGAGATTGATTTATGGGTTAGAATTGCAATTGATCGTTTTGTGCGTGATCTGACAATAGGTTTTTGTTATGAATATGGGCTTATAAGATTGCCGAGTAAGCTATTTAGATGTGAAACACTTGAGACTTTAGAACTCAAAAAGGTGATTTTTTTGGAAGTTCCTTCTCAGATTAGCTTTCAATCCCTCAAGACGTTGCGCCTTTTGTTTGTGAAGTATGTAGATGAAGAATCTTTCGTTAGGCTTATATCAAATTCCCCTGTTCTTGAAGATTTGGTTGTAGAAACTTGTCATGATGACAATGTGGCGACTTTTACTATTAATGTGCCTTCCCTTGAGAGTTTCTCCATTAGGAATACATTGCAAGACTTGGAGACTGAGAATGATTTGTTTGTGGTACATTACCATTGTTTGAAGCAGTTCACCATTGTGGACTACTTTGGTCAACTTAACTTGATAGGTAATATGCCTAAACTTGTCGAGGCAAATCTCTTATCTGTGTCCTGCCAAGCCAAGGTTCTACAGTCTTTTACCCGTGTCAAACGTCTTTCTCTATGCTTACCTAAAGAGGTAATTTTTCTTGCTCTCTTTCGATCTTTCTTGGTAGCGAAAAATTCTGAAACTTTTGCTTGCTTTCTTTTTTGCCTGTGTTGTGTTACATGCAGTATCCTTATCCTACTGGCACCGTTTTATCTCAGCTTGTGAGTTTGGAGCTATGTTTCTGTGAAAGTGACTGGACGAATATCCTTACGAGTGTGCTCCTACATTCCCCTAAACTACAATTTCTCAAGCTTGCCCGGGTACTTTCTTCTATAACCCAAATTTTCTCAATCATGTTTGGTTTCCAGTTTAAAAGTCTAATGCACTTTTACCATTGATTGCAGAACCATTTGATGTGCGAGGATCGTGAGGTTTGCTGGATTCAGCCGAGTAATGTTCCCGAATGTTTGTTGTACCATCTCAAAACCTTAGAGTGGAGGGACTATGCAGGAACAGAAGTAGAGAAAGAAGTGGCGGCTTATATTTTGAAGAACGCGAGGAGACTAGAGACTGCAACTATCTACCCTGACTCGGATGAGTTGGTGCACAAACATCAGATGTTTGAGGAATTGGAAATTGCTTCAAGGGGTTCAAGAGCATGTGAGCTTACAATGTGGTTATCTCTTTACCAAAGATTTAAAAGCTGTTAGAGTTTGGATTTTTGATCAGAAGCTTCTTGTATAGTTGCTCTGTATCTTGTGTCCAAGAAGAAAAAAAGAGAAACTTTGTAGATTATATACTTCTGTCTTATTGGGTTTTGTTTGGACTTTGGACTATGGATATTGTTCAAAAGTTCAAATAGAGCTTTGTATTGTTATGCCAATATATTCAAATTTTCATTATCTTAGCTAAAAAAAATATAAATTTTTAATTCCGGATACAAAAGTAGAGTCCTTAAAATTAAACCCTAAGTCACGTTCATACAAAAGTTATCTCAATCTTTGGTTTTCTCTCTATATCAATCATCTTCTTGGCCATGAGTTTAATGGAAACGAACAATATCAGTTCGTTACCAGATGACTTGCTCTTGAAGATTTTGTCATCACTTTGTTATAAAAATTTGGTATTCACAAGCATCTTGTCTAAACGATGGCGTGGTCTCTGGAAACGTGTGACAAAACTCAGCTATGATGATTGCTTACGATGCAATCGCTGCGGATTTCGTCAATTTGTTTGTGGATCGTTGCGATTTCGTAATGCTGGAGTGATAAAGAGCTTGCATCTCAAGCTTCACCGAGAATGTCGACTTGAGTCCTTCATCAACCCATTGGATAACCCTTGGGTTGATCTCTCTGAGGTGAGTATCGAGTCGTGTTATGCATCGCCAACATTGCCGCTTAGCTTGCGTAGTAGGCATTGGACTCTCAAAACATTGATACTTAAAAGACTAAGTTTCTCGGATACTGATGATAATATGTGGTTTGAGTCCCTCAAAACACTGCATCTTCTGTCCGTGAGGTTCTCAGACGACATATCTGTTCAAAGGCTTTTAACCTTTTGTCCGAAACTTGAAGATTTGGTTGTGAGACGAACTACATATGTCAATGTGAAGATATTCACTATCAATGTGCCTAGTTTGAGGAGTTTATCTATCGATTATTCGTGGGCGGTATCTCAACCCGCGGATGTACACGGATTTGTGATAAAGACTCCTTCTTTGAGGTACTTGAATATTAAAGATTACTTCAGTAACTTTTTACAGTTTGAAAATATGCCTCAGCTTGTCAAGGCGAATGTCGAGGTTGATTGTGATCAATCTGAGAAGTTTATTGGATCTATTACCTCAATCCAACATCTCTCTTTGTGTTCTAAAACTTCAAAGGTAACCCCTCTTTAATAATCTGAACCAATGTCAAAGATTCAATCAAATAAAATTTTACCTCTTTTGCGTTTTTGCTTTTATTGCAGATTCCATATCCTAGTGGCACTTCCTTCTTCTATCTTGAACATCTTGAGCTATGTACATGTTCTCAAGAGTGGTGGAATCTACTTAACCGTATACTCAAAGACGCTCCAAGACTTCAGGCTCTCAAGCTCAAACTGGTATGTAATATATTTATGCAGTTTCCATAATTTTTGTTTCCAGTTTTTGAACGGTCTTAGAACTTCACATCTCTATAATGTTTCCTTCTGTTATCACAGAAACATTTTGTTCGATATAATACTGAATCGATGGATCACTGGAACGAACCGTGCTCTGTTCCCAAATGTTTATCGTCTCATCTAGAGATCTTCGAGTGGAGACATTACAAGGGGACAAAGCAAGAAAGAAAAGTGGCAAAGTACATACTAGCAAAAGCAAGTTGTCTAAAGATGGCAATATTCTCTTCAGTATCTATAGAGAAGAATCTGATTTTCAAAGAGTTAGAAAATGTGGCCAGAGGTTCAGAAGCATGTAAGCTTGTGTTTAAATAACATGTTTTCTTTTTGCTTTTTTCAACAACATTTTTTTCGTTGTTAACATCTTCTGAAACAATTATTTGACTACATATAATAAGTTTTCGATATTCTCTGTCATTCTCGTGGTGTTCGTTGGGTTTTCTTACTACGTATTTGCTTCGTACTGATTCTGATAATTCCATCTGTCTAGTTTGGAAAAAACAGGATATGTTTATTGTTAAATAAACCTAATTTATCGTGTGTGGATATATCCAATAATGTGCCTTGCACGGAACAAGTTCCGGTTATGTGGACATATGTGACGGAGATGCCTTGTGATATAAGTCTCCCAAACAACCTTAAAGTTTTCCAAACACTCATCGTCTTGAAACTACAAGGCAATATTTTTCTTGATGTTGTTGGTTCTCCTGTTTGTTTTCAATCCCTAAAAAGTTTGCATCTCGCACGTGTGAGGTTCTGGGGCAATGAATCTTTCGGCAGACTTTTATCGGCTTGTCCTGTTCTTGAAGATCTCTTCTTGGAAAGACTAAATAGCAGCATCCGCTCTTTTTTAACCATATCAGTACCTTCTCTACAGAGATAACTCATCACTAAAGATCGTGTCTATTGGCCTAGCAATGACCCAAGTTTCGAGATTAATGCTCCTTTTTTGAAGCTTCACGAGGTATTGAAAAATGTTGCACTTTCCCTTCGTAGTAATCTGTTGCAAGAGCTTAAAATGCCTTTTATGTTTCTCAGAAACATTTGAGTCATCATACCGGAGAGATCAAGGATCCACCACCTTCAGTCTCTGCACCGAGCTCAGTCCCTGAATGTTTGTCCTTCCATCTTGAAACTCTTCAATGGAGAGGTTATGAAGGAACAGAGGAAGAGAAAGAAGTCGCCGTTTACATTCTGCAAAATGCTCTTCATTTGAAAACCGCTTCGATCTATATATATTCAGAAGGTCCTCGAGGTGGGGAGAATGATCTGATGATGATCAAGGAGTTGAAAGCTATCTCTTTGGCTTCAAATTCGTGTCACCTTGTAATTCAACTTAACAAGT